CAGGCTCTTAAAAATTACTGTACCTAAATATTGTAAACCTGTAGAATTAGGTTCACTGTCTTAGTATTTTATTTATTGTTTTGTTGCTGCTACTGTTTTGAGACACAGTCTCACTGTGTAGACTTGGCTGACCTCAAACTCACTTTGTACACAAGGCTGGCCTTGAACTTACAGAGCTCTGTCTGAGTGCTAGGAGTGCTGGGATCAAAGGCCTGTGAAATTATGCCTGGTGTTTGTTTTTATGTTTGAGATAGGGTCCCACTTTGTAGCCCAGGCTGGACTGAAAGTCATGACAGTTCAGCCTCAGTCTCCCAAGTTCTAGAATTAAAGATGTGAGCCACTGTGAATTCATTTTATATGTGTATTTTTAGACAAGGTCTTGCTATAGGGTCCCAGCTGGTCTCAAACTCAAGTGCTCAAACAGTCCTTCCATCTCCACCTCTCAAGCAGTTGGGATGACAAGTTATGTTGTTTTTTACGTTAGTCAGGTGGAACTGCCATAATGATGCACCACGGATTTGGTATCAACACAGAAGGCTGTTTCCTCAGAATTCTGGAAGCTAGAAGTCTGGCATACATTACAGGGGTGGTCTTTCCTTTCTCCTCACAGTTTTACACAGCTTTGCTGGCAGTCTCTGTTTCCCCTTGGCTTGCAGCTGCATAACTATCTTTGCCATTACTGTTACAGGGTGAGGACCTGGCAGGTTGACCACTAATGAGCACCACTCCTCTATACTTGGGCTAGCAAGGGAGGGAGATTGCACTTTTAATTTGTCTCATCTTCAGTAAAACTTCATCTGCAATCCCCAGTTTCCACACAAGGTTCTAGACTGGGAGTTGGCATTTCAACATAGCCATTTGAAGGGACCAAATTCCAACCCTTCTTTGAACTCTTCTGAGATGCTGCAGTGGACTGTGCTGCCCTGTCTTCCTGAGATACTGATGAGATATGGCTGAAGCTGCAGCATGCTCAGAAAACACAGTATAAGGTCACCATAAGCTTCAAGGCAACTTCCAAATCACTTGTACTAGAGTCGGTTGTATGACCATGTGGCCACTGGCTACTCACTACATAATTCATCTCCAGGCATCAACCTGCCACTCAAGCTCCACAATACAAGCTACAGGTCTGATCAAAGGTCACCCCTCAGTTCCTGGATTGGAAGCCAGGACATTGTTTGCTTCTACTCCCACTGTACCCTAAATATTTGCTCTATTATCCTCGGAATACATCTAGCTTCAGCAGGTAAAACTGCTCTCAAGTTTCCTCTAGAGATCACTATAGAATATGACACCCATGAACCACTAATCCTATTAAGATTTTGTTCACTTAGGGCCAAAACTCCTCCAGGCCAGTCACACCTCCACCCAGGGCCCTTTCTGTCTTGTGGGTGGGATTTGAATTTCCATTTGATCCCAACATTGCTAGGCCTTTCTCTATGTTGCTTGGGGATTCTGTGCTATTTTGTTTGTCTGTTTACTTTTTTCAACTCAAGGTCTCAGTGTGTAGCTCTGTCTAACCTGGAACATAAGGTATAAACCAGGCTGTCCTTGAATCCATAGAAACCTGCTAGTCTATGTTTCCTGAGTTCTGATGGATTTTGTACCATTAACTCACCCATTCCTAAGTAGTCTGCTTCTTTCCTTGCCAGCATATTTTAGAGCATTTCTTGTGCTTTTATAGAAGCCCAGGGCCAGGTGTTGGTGGCACACACCTTTAATCCCAGCACCGGGGAGGCAAATCTCTATGAGTTCGAGGCCAGCCTGGTCTACAGAGCAAGTTCAGGACAGCTTCCAAAACAGTACAGAAACCCTGTCTCAAAAAAAAAAAAAAAAAAAAAAAAAAAGTCCAGGAAATTGTCCTAATTTCTGGGGTAATCCATGTCTTTCATTCCTTCCTCCTTTCCACAAGGTCTCACTGTGTATGTTCAAGTGTAATATTTTTTAGGGGGATAATTTTTTTCAGGTTATTTACTGATTTTTAATTTTTGTTCATTCAATTGTTTTTATTACGTGTGTGTGTGTGTGTGTGTGTGTGTGTGTGTGTGTGTGTGTGTGTATGTGATGTGGGCATGAGTATGCCTTAGCACACCTACGTGGGTCAGAAAACAACTTGTTGGAGTCAGTTTTCTTCCACTCTGTGAATTCTGCAAATCCCACTCGGGCTCAGCAGCGTGCACCTTTATTTTCTGAGCCATTTCACTGGCCCTCATGTCTTTTTCTGTTTGTTTTATTTTTTTAGACAGGGTCTTACTATGAGTCTAGGTGGCATGGCGTTCTCTATGTAGCCAGATTGTCTTTGAAATCATGGTTATCTTCAGCCTCCAGGGTGTCATTTTCCTGTAATCCTAGAACTTGGAAGACAGAAGTAAGAGGACTTCTTGAAGTTCAAGGATAGCCTGCTTTATATCCCCAGCCAGGGTCACATCCTCTAAAAAGAAAAAAATAAAATAAAACCTCTACAAACAGAAAACTTTGGGGAATTTAGCTTTGTCTAATCAGCTACTCTTATTTTTTCTGTTGACTCTGGGCTCCAGAGTCCTGACTGAGAGGATTAGGCTGGGAAAGAGGAGATAGAGAAGATGATAGCTCCTCATTTTTGGCCCTCACAGCAGCAAGTATGCTCTGGAAAAGACATGTAAGAGGAAGCTTAGATTTGGCTTAAAATGGCTCATCTCAGGCTGGAGAGATGGCTCAGAGGTTAAGAGCACTGGCTGCTCTTCCAGAGGACCAGGGTTCAATTCCCAGCATGTACATTATCACCATTTATAACCCCAGTTCCCTCAGATCCTATGCCCTTCTTGGGTGTATGTGGTACACAGACATACATGCAGGCAAAATACTCATACATGTAAAATAATAACAATTTTTAAAAAGAGCTTACTCTTGTCTGAACGTTCATTCCTTGATGCTGTTCCGCTGGGGTCCAAATGGAAGAAGGAAGCACTCTGGGGCATGGAAAGGAACCTGAGTCCTCATGAGCAAGTGCAGTTCACACTGCAACACCCTGGAGTTTAGAATTTCCGCACTGATGGAGAGGCCACTCTCAAGAAAACTCAAGTCTCCTTGGGCCTGGGGGCTGGATTTTAAAAGGACATGCCTACTTCCCGTTACTCTATCTCATTCAAGGCAGAGTTAACCTCACGTTGTTGCTCTACCTCGTAATGTTCAAGTATAGGTGAGGCCCTTGTCTGGGAGTGAAAACAAAGAAGCTAAATCTCAGGAACCCAGACAAATATGAGAATTTTTTTTTTAGATTTATTTATTATGTGTAGTGTTCTTCCTGCATGTATGACTATACACCAGAAGAGGGCACCAGATCTCACAACAGATGGTTGTGAGCCACCATGTGGTTGCTGGGAATTGAACTAAGGACTTCTGAAAGAGTAGCTAGTTCTCTTAATGTCTGAGCCATCTCTCCAGCCCCCTGGACATTTTTCATATGAATATTTTGTTGGATTTTTGGTTTTGTGTGTGTTTGTTTTGAGACAAGGTTTTTCCATGTAGCCCTGGCTATCCTGGAACTCACTATTTAGACCAAGGTTGGCCTTGAACTTGAAAAGATTCATCTGCCTCTGCCTTCTGGGTGCTAGGATTAAAGGAATGCCCAATGTGTGGGTCAAACATGGAAATTTTCTTAGGAAAAAAGCAAAAACAAAAACAAAACAAAAAAGCAACAGAAGCTCTAGCCAGCTGCTACCTGCTTGGTTTTTGTTTTTTCTGACTCTGTCTGGATTCAGGTGACCTGGTGATGTGAATGCTCTATCACCTGATCTTTATCATAAACCCCCATTAGAATAAGTGACATTTCCAGGGTTGGGTTTAGGGTAAAAAGCACAAGAATCTAGCAAATTCGGAGACGGATTCTGCATTTGAAAGTCTGATGTTTGTTCTTTTTTAGTTTTTTAAAAATCTGCTTAGTTTTTATTTTATGTGCATTTGTGTTTTGCAATTGGTGTCTTCTGTTAGGAGTGTCAGATCTTGGAGTTACAGACAATTGTTAGCAGCCATGTGGGTATTGGAACTTAAAGCCGGGTCCTTTAGGATAGTAATGAGTGTCCTTAACCACTGAGCCATCTCTCCAGCACTGAAAGTCTGATGTTTTGTTCCATAGCCCCTCCACCCCCGCCCATGCATGTTGGTTTTAGGAATATTGAACTACCATATTTATGTTGAGGTAGTTTTGTGACCCCATTTTTAAAATTTTTATTATTACCATTATTATTAAGAGACAGGTTCTCACTAGTACTTCAGACTGTCCTGAAACTCACTATATAGACCAGGCTGTCCTTGAACTCAGAGATAGTCTACCTATGCCTCCCAAATGCTGGGAATAAAAGCTTGCGCCACTACGCCCGACTGAACCCATACATTTTTAACTAGTAGTGAATGCCTCTCACTTGCATTTCGTTCTGGTCCAGTGAAATATCTACGAGTCCACAAACTCTCCCCTTCCTCCTGGGCCTCCAAAGGATTTTCCCCCTACCCCACCCCACATTAAGGCCTCAAGACCACTGCACGCAGGTCACTTTTGCTCTCCGGGCTTCTACGCGGTGCAGCTCCGGGGTCCCGGCCTCTGTGGCACCTCCTACATTGTGCAGTTCTCCAAGGTGTGGAGACTTCACTGTCCGCCAACCGCACCACTGCGGGAGGTTATGCACTGGCCCAAGAACTGAGCGACTAGGTATCATCGTCTGGCACTCAAAGGTCTCAGCCCTGGTTTGTATTCAGCGACCCGAGCACTGCGCGTGCGCATTGAGCCCGTCGCTAGCGAGAGAAAGAGTTCAGACGCTCCCAGGTTTGCAACCAAAGGGCTCAGGAGCGCGAAAAATCTTCCGCCTGCAGCTCGCGGGCGCAGGCGCTAGAGACAGCAGTTTAGACAAGGAATTGCCCTGGAGCCACCGGCTGGTTGCCGCCCAGGGGTGGTCCTTGCACAGCGGAAGGCGCGGCCCGGGCGCCCGCCCGATGGGGCGGGAGGGGCGGGTCGCTACTGCGTCCCCGCCCTGTGCTCGGGCCGGGCCGGGCCGGGAGGGTCCCGGGGCTTGCGGCCGGGCCAGCGGGTGAGGTTCTCCGGGCTGACGCAGCGCCATGCGCAGCCCCCCTGCCAGCGCGCTGCTTCTGATTGCGCGCCGGGGCCCTGCCGTGCGTGCGTGGGCCCCGGCTGTCTCCTCTAGGACATGGCTGGCTTCTGAGTGGAACCCGCTCGTACGCGCGTGGACTTCTCTAACCCATGAGCAGACCCCGGGCCTCCGCTTTCCCGCGCCCCTATCCGGGTTGCCTGGCGGCGTGGGGCGGTGGGCCACGTCCTCAGGGACCCGCAGGTGCTGGATACTGGCAGGACCCCGCGGCGCACATCCACTGTTCGCCAGGTTCCAGGGAATCCCGGCAGTAGGTACCAGTGTGCGAGACCTTGGAAACGACTCCCAGCGGCGGCCCGCGGCGACCCGGCGCTCAGAAGTGTGGAAGCTACTGGGGTTGGTGCACCCTGAGCGCGGGAGGCTGTCAGGTAGGAACCTTGCGGGAACCAGTGGGCTGTCCCGGGCCCGGGCCTCGCCTCGGCCTGGACAAGGGCGTTCAGATCTGCCGACACCTGTTGGAAAGCTATGGGTGCTTTTTCTTAACTGGCGGGTGCTCACCCTCTGAGGTCCATAGAGCCTGTTACTAGAATATTTAAATCGGCCCCCACCAGCTTGTTGGCAGCGTCTGCTCTAATAAATAAACTGGAGTTTACTCCTTTAAAAAAAGTTTTGCGAAAACCATGTCTACTTTGTATTATCCATTTATAATGTTTAAAAAAAAACACCATTAGGGCTACACAGTATCAAGCAACCAGAAATATTTCACACGATGAAGCTGAGCACTGTGAACCTCATGCTGGCTGTCACCACCCTAAAGTGGTCAGGATCAGGCATTGGCCACAGCATAAAGAAACTAGACAGTAACTCAACTGAATCAATGGATGTCTTTCCAAAATGAATCAGAATTGGCTGATTTTAAATGAAAATACTCTGTAACTCCCCATTTTTAGCAGTCACTGGAGGAATGGTTGGGGCAGAGACCTACTGAGATAGAGAAAGTCCTTAGGGTTTTCTAAGTCTGCATTCCTTCTGTGACTATGGATGGTGCTCTCCTTCTGTGGCATTGCCTTGGGAACTGACACATGGAGCCCTGCTCCTGCTAGGGTTCCCTGCTTAGTGGACAGGAAACTATTTGAATTAGAGATGAGATGGAGACAGGTATGAGGGGCTTCCAGGAGGAATGGCCTTGTTGCTCAACTCTTGAAACAGGCAGGACCCCAAGTTGCTTGCTGAGTCTTTTGCTATACAAATTACTCTCTTTGGGAGAGATTGGGCTTGGAGAAGGAAGGGCATATGGATCTGCCATCTACAAGAGTTAGGAGGTTGTGGTGCCCTTAGGTATAAGGCATATTTTACTATGGTTGTTGTGGGTTTTAATGGAAAAAGTCCTTTTCTTCTTGGTTAGACTGTAAGCCTTTTTACCCCCGTGTTTTATATATTTTTAACGAATTGTTTGTTTTTATGTGCATTGATGTTTTGCCTTCATGTATATCTATGTGAGGGTGTTGGATCCCTTGGAATTGGAGTTACAGACAGTTGTGAGCTGCCCTGTGGGTGCTGGGAATTGAATCTAGGTCCTCTCAAAGAGCAGCCAGTCCTCTTAACCACTGAGCCATCTCTCCAGCCCCCTCCCCTATGTTTTACTGGGAGCGATTTAATGTAGTCCAGACTGACCTCAAACTCACTATATAGCTGAGGATGACCTTGAATTCCTGATCTTCTTATACATCTCCCAGGTGCTGGGATTACAGGTGTGAGCCACCAAAACCAGGATTAAAATATATTCTTGGGGGTTGGGGGCCACAGAGCAGAAAGTGTGTATGGAGGAGCCTGGAGGCAAGAACTCAGGCTTCTTCTTCTGAACTTCGGATTTCAAAGTTTTGGGGAGTCAGCCTTTGTTGGCGCCACCTAGCCCTTCCCCAGTGTCCCTGTCTGTCATCTCTGTGACCTGTCCCCACTTATCCTGCCTGCCAGCATGCTTGAAATCTGCCTAAATAAGTCAGAGCAGTCAGTTTGCCTTACTAAAACATCAAACATATGATTTGAGAATAAGCTTACTGCAGTTGGCATTATAGTGGGCTTGTTTTTGAGTCAGAGTCTTGCTCTGTAGTCCAGCCAGCCTCTAACTTGATCTGTTGCCTCAACGTCCCAAGCCTTAGGAATCTTAAGGCTTCTAAGTAGATAGTAAACATGCTCTGTCTTCAGGGCATCTGAAGAACTCTTTATATAGCCTATGTTTTCTTCAGAAGCCATTATAGGTAAAGACAGTCTGGTTGTTGGTGCTGGTGGAAGTAAAAGGAAGTCATGGTCACCGTTAATTTGTAATAGATCATGCTAAGCAAGAGTTGGCACATCTCTGAAATGCCGGGGGAACAGAGCTGTTGTGTAGGCTTGTGTCTTTCTGTCTGTCTGGTTTTTGAGACAGATATCACTTTGTAGCTCAAACTGAGCATGAATACACAGCAGTTTTCCTGCCTCAACCTCCCCAATCTTAGAATGATATTTTATCATTATTTTGTTGAAGAGTCCCCACAGCAGATAATAAAAGAAGAAATCCCGATGTTAGGTGCTCTCTCCTCTCCTCTCCTCCTCCCCTCCCCTCCCCTCCCCTCCCCGTCCTCCCTCCTTCCTTCCCTCCCTCCCTCCCTCCCTCCTTCTCTTTCTCTCTGTCACTTTTTTTTTTTTTTGGTTTTTCGAGACAGGGTTTCTCTGTGGCTTTGGAGACTGTCCTGGAACTCGCTCTGTAGACCAGGCTGGCCTCAAACTCACAGAGATCCACCTGTCTCTGCCTCCCGAGTGCTGGGATTAAAGGTGTGCGCCACCAACGCCTGGCTCTCTGTCACTTTCTTTCCTCTCTCCCTCCCTCCCTCCCTCCCTCCCTCCCTCCCTCCCTCCCTCCCTCTCTCTCTCTCTCTCTCTCTCTCTCTCTGTCACTTTCTTTCCCCCCTGGTTTTTTGAGATGTTTATTGTGTAGCCCTAGCTGTCCTGGAACTCTGTAGACCAGGCTGACTTTGAACTCAGAGATCTGCCTGCCTCTGCCTCCCGAGTGCTGGAATTAAAGGCATGCACCACCACTGCCTGACTTCTGGTGTTAGTTTTCTAATTTGTCTAAAATTAACATCCCAAAACTGCAGGTTGTGTTTCAATAATAATAACTCTTCCTTCCCTACTCTTCAGCAGTTTGTTCCCAGAAGATTTTGATGTTAAGTATCCGAAACTTAGAAAACGGGGCTTCCTGTTTGAAAAGTCTGCAGATGCTTGCCCAGAGCAGAAGTCGCATGGTTGCTCTTCCTCCAGGCAGCCCACTCATTCAGGATTTCAGCTATCTTGGTATCACTAAGTCTGCAGTGCTACCCAGAGCCATTTTGCACTGATAAGTCTTCCTCTTATCACTTTGGCCACAAGGAACCTCAGAAGGTGCTGAGCCTAGAATCATCAGGATGTGCGCAGAGCAGGCAGGAGGTACTTGTTTAGGCTTCCTGTGTGCTTAGCAGATAGGAGGCCAGGGCTCAGATGTCCCAGTGAGCAGTGGGCCCCTTAAAGAGAAGATGCTTAGAGTGTCAGATCTCCTGACTCACAGCAGGCTCCTAGATCGACTATATAGTTAGACTGTTAGATGGTACATTCTACTGTCATCCTTCATGTTTTAGACAGTGCAGGTATGCAGGATTCGGGGTCTGCTATTATTCCTGGTAAGGGCTGGGTTTCTCTGTGAAACAGCCCTGCCCTGGTTTTCCTGGCACTCACTCTGTAGACCAGCTTGGCCTTGAACTCATAGAGATTCACCTGCCTCTGCCTCCTGAGTTCTGGGATTAAAGGCATTATCATGCCAGCTTGATAAAAATTTGTCTTAAAAGCTATGGCTGAGTTTGTGACTGATTTTTGTATATATGCCTGTGGAGTGGCCATAGTGAAATTCAGCAAGGAAAGGATGGAGACTGCCTACAATTGCTGCTTCCTGATGCTCAGATAGAGCAGTGGTCCAGCAGGACAGGGCTAAGGGACAAGAGGAACAGCCTGTGATGTGGGGGCTACTCCAGGGATCTCAGTGTCTCCTGAACCCCTGTTTCTTGCTCAGCTTCACTCTAGGATTTCAGCCCACATATCTTCACTTGTTCCTTCAGCTTAGGGTCAGCTCACCTCAGCTTTCATCTCCCATCTGACCTCTACCCTGTTCCTGTCATATCTGCATCGTCACTGAAAATGTTCCCCTGACCTCACAGATCCTCAGAATGTCTGCAAACAGCTATCACTCTGCCTTTTTGCCCTTTTCCTTCCAGTCCATGGTCTCTGAGAGAGGACAACCGAGTTAACCTTTGAGCTAAGTCACAGCACAGGTCACTTCTGAAATAACAGCAGGGTTGATAAAGGATATAGCTGCTATTCTTTTTTTTTTTTTTTTTTTTTTTTTTGGTTTTTTGAGACAGGGTTTCTCTGTGGCTTTGGAGGCTGTCCTGGAACTCACTCTGTAGACCAGGCTGGCCTCGAATTCACAGAGATCCGCCTGCCTCTGCCTTCCGAGTGCTGGGATTAAAGGCATGCGCCACCAACGCCCGGCCATAGCTGCTATTCTTGTTTACTAGTTACTGGGCACAAGCCAGATGCTTTCTATGTGTCTAATCTGCTCAGGGCAGCTCCATGAGAAGGTGTCGCTGTATTTTGCTATTTGTAGTAGGAGAAATTGAGGCACAGAGAATTTGAGCCACTTGTGTTAGGTCAGACATGTTGGTGGCAGAGCCAGGGTTTTGGTGCTGTTAGTCTCCTCTTTAGAACCAGCTTTTCTGATCCTCCTCAACCTCTGACCTCCCACACTGACGTTGCAGACCCAAGTTACCCCCTGAACACCAGTAGAATGAGGATAATGGTCATGTGTTTGAGAGTGTCAGTCAGTGGAAGCCACCGGGCCCCATCATGCCAGATGGGAGCAGTAGAAGCCACACTGTGATATGGTGGGAAGGTGAGTTCCAAATTACAGAGTGAGGTCCCAGATTTGGAGTGGAACCTGATATGCCACAGCCCCATTTGACAGAACCTCAATCCCAAGAATCATGGTGACAAAAATCTATTTTATTTACATTCAGAGTATATCTTAGGGTTTTATTGCTGTGAAGAAACACCATGACCATAGCAACTCTTGAAAAGGAAAGTATTCAATTGGAGCTGACAGTTCAAAGGTTCAGTGTGTTATCATCAAGACAGGAAGTGTGGTGGTGTACATGCAGACATGGTGCTAGAAAGGTAGCTGAGAGTTCTGCATATGGATCTGCAGACAGCAGGAAGAAAATGTAAGCTGCCAGCCTGGCTTGAGCATCTGAGACCTCAAAGATTGTCCCCAGAGACACATTTCCTCAATGAAGCCACACCTCCTCTAACAAGGTCACACCTAGTAGTGCTACTTCTTGTGAGCCACCACAAATACAAAGGGGTA